ACATGCAATGAGTAGGGGAGCATTCTGAAGGATTCATTCAGATCATGTGGGCTCTTGGGTGTGGAGAGGAAACATTGAACAGGAACTCAGGAGACCTGTTTTCTTGTCTCAGCACATCCCCCAGTCTTTGGGCCACTGCCTGGAGACAGTGAGAAGACAGTGAGAAATGGTCAGATGCTGGATATATTTGAAGGCAGAGCCTATAATCATTGCTGGCAGATGGGGGTGGGGTTAGGGAAAGAGGGGAAGGAGAGGGGTCAAGGATTAGTCCTGCAGGCTTGGATGAACAAATGGAAGGTTATTTACTAAGAAGGTGAAGACAAGGAGAGCAAGAGGTTTTAGGAAGATGATCATAAGGGCATATTTGCAAATGAATGGCAAGTTCCCATAGCTCTCTGGTCTTACACTTCAACTCTTCCACAGGTCCCCCCACAGAAAGCCAGAGCCCCAGGTTGGCGCCAAGTGGGTGTACAAAAGGTAAAACAGTTGCCAGCCAATGAATGATTCAGCCTTACTCAGCAATCCCATTGAACAGAAAGTGGTCAGAAGACCGTGCCCTGCAGGCTTGGTAGGAAGTGGTCACATTCTTCTACTAAAGATCAGTGATGGGGAAAGGCATATCTGTGCGTGGTCGTTGCAGAAATGTTTGAAAATTCAGAGAAGTATAATCTCATCACATGCCTAACATCTTCGTGTGTTTTCTCTCAATCGTTATTTTGCACAGTTGAAGGCATCCACATAACATGATTTGGCGATTTCCTTGTCTCACTAAGCAGTGAAGCACATGTTTGTAAATTGCTTTCTGGAGAGGATGTGCTGATCTCCTCGACCAGAAACAATATCTTAAAAAGAACACCTCTTCCCTGCCTAGCTGGCCAGCAGCGAGCATCAGCATTAAGGATACTTTGAAAATTTGACAAGTGAAAAATAGCAACTCATTATTCATAATTATTTCAACTCATAATCATTCTTTTAATTTGCAATTCTTTCATTTCTAGAATGAACACTTGTCAAATGCCTATTCGTTGTATATTTTCACATATATTTCAGTATATTTTCTTATATATATTTCAATTCATAATTTATTATTTTGATTTGCAATTCAAGATATATTTACCATATATGATATATAAATATATATTTAGAATGTATACCATATATATTATGCACTTTCAGAATTGACTTTTGTGAAGATATTTGCAGGATAGTAACAGGAACAGAATCACTGACATCTAGTTGAACTTCATCTTCCCCATCTCAAAAAGTAGCATTCTCCCCCCACCCAAGTGGTTGGTTGTGTGTGAGTGAGATGGGGGTGGCGGTGGGAAGAAGAAAGCATGCCAGGGCTGGAAAGCTTGTCCTCAGCTTTTCACACGCCAGCCTCAAATATGCCCAAGAAAGGCTGAGGCTCCATGCTTTCCGAGCATGCCACTGCTAACTACTAGCTGGTGGCCATCTGCTGGGCAGCTTTTTGGGATTTCTGCCCCAGTCTGATCTGCCAAATGGCAACCTGAACTCTCCTTTAGGGTAAGGATGCTGTCTGATCCGGCTGTGTTTACCAAGCCTGTTATAGCATCTGTCTCAGTACCTATCTGTTCTGTAACTGAATGATAGATGATGAGAGAAGAGACAGTTCTCAGCTGTGTCATGAAACAGTGAGTCCCTTTCTCTCACTGGCCTCCATCTCTATGTCTTACGTATTGAATCCAGTTACAGCAAAGATTCCCTCTAACTCTGCAATTCTGTGAAAACACCTCTTAAGTAATTAATCCGGTCAGGACAAAGACTTCTCTAACTCTGAAGTTCTGTGAAAACACCAAACCCATCTTTGCTTTCGTTTCCTCTTCTATGAGACAGGGTGAAAAAAAATCAACTTCCCATCAGGTTGCCAGATAAAATATGGGACCCCCAGTTAAATTAGAACGTCAGATAAACAAAGAGTAAGTTTTTTTGTTTTTGTTTTTGTTTTAGTACAACTGTGTCCCAAATATTGCATAGACTCCATAAATAATGGAAGCACTGAAAGATTAAACAACATGCAGCTGGATCAGTTTATTGCATTTGGAGTTGTGATTCTGGCCCGATGATGATTATATGGCATTCATTCAACAAGTATTTATTGAGCATCTACTCTATGCCAGACACAATTTCGGCCCTGGTGACACAGCAGAGAATGAAATAAGCAGTGTCTCTCATTTCATAGGACTTGCATTCTAGTTAACAAAAAATACATAAAATGGCAGGTGCTCATAATTCTCAGGAGACTAATAAAGCAGGATAAGGGTCAGAAACCAGGTGAGGGGGCTAAGGAAGGAGCTAAGGAGTCTGATTAATCGATCCTCTGCACTTGAGAGACCCCGTCCTCCACAGAGAGCAGTGTAACAGCAAGATCCTGACATTATTTTGCAGCAATCACTGAAGCTGCATAAAAATGACATCACCAATTCAAAAGTTTATGTCCCAAATCAGGGATAAAATGATCAGTTGTGGATGGAAGAGACCTATAAATCATTTAGCTCAGAGTTTTGCAGCCACTGGGTTTCTTGATAGCCAGGTGAAAGTTTTGGAAGGTGAGGTACTTGCTCAAAAGATGCTTCAGTTTTTAAATTCTATTTGACATTCAGGTTGGGGTGAGTCCTGACAACTTGAGGTGTTTTTTTTGTTTGTTTGTTTGTTTGTTTTGAAGTTTTAGCTGAAACAACAGTGAAGGGGTTTTCTCAAGAACCTTCACACACACACACACACACACACACACACACACACACACACACCTCAGGCCAGTGTCCATGGTTCAACAGCTTTGCTGGAGACTATTAAGCTAATGGCAGGTGAGGTCACGTCCCTCTTCTCCTGGCAGCTGAGTGGTCATCAGCATCAACACTATTACTATTTTTATGATCATGTTAGGTTTCCAGATTGTTCTTCTACACCTGGTTACTCTAATGTCTACAATCATAAATCCTAGGCTTTATTTGCCAAGCTTGTCTCTTTGGCTTTCCCCTTTGCTACCCCAGGTATGGTCCCCACCGGCAGCATCCCCATCACCTGGGAGCTGGCTGGAAACACAGGGTCTCAGGCCCCAGCCCGGCTCTGCTGAACCACAACCTGCCCTTTGACAATGTCCCCTTGGCCTGCACAGTCAAGTCTGAGAAATGATGCTCTAGAACATTGTGTGTGCTAGGCTCTATTTCATGTTACATACGAGACTTCTATTTGGTTTCATAGAAAGGGCTCTTGTCTGCTTCAAGAGCTGGATGTGTGAAGCTCACGAACATCTTTCTCAAGTAAAAGCAGATCCAGCAGTTTGGAGAGTTTCTCCTTTCCCCGTTTCAGCTCACAGGAGTTACATGCTTAGGAGTATGTGCGATTCTTGGTTTACAACCTAAGGTCATCATGGAACCCCGAGGGGGTTATGTTTTGGTGGAGGAGAGGCAGCTGTAGGAAAGCCAACAGGAGAAAGTACCCGTGACATTCCTCCCAGAGAGGTTTGCAGGCACGTGGGTGGCTTCTCCTCAAAGGTTGTCCCTCAAGGAACAATTGCCCCCCTAGTCCCATCAGACGTAATTCCTCTCCACACCAACTGGGCATCGAGCATCTGGGGACTGCAAGGACGTTGTTGGGAGCTGAAGTCAGGACGGGTGAGGAAACAAGCTCTCACCAGATGATTAGGGTTCCTCTGAGTCTCTGCCAGATGCAGACAAAAGAACCACTCACCCATGACGAGTGTTAAGAGCACACATGTTCCCATGCAACGGGAGATGTGTTGACTCATTGACTCTCATCATAGCATCTCCCAGCATCATACATCGAGGCAACCAAGCAGGTTCTGAAAGGCACAGCATTCCTGAAGGGCAAGGCATACAGGTGGGTACCCAAACAGACAATGCAGAATGGAAAGCAGAGGCCTCGGAGACGTGGCTCTGGTGAAACGCAGAAGAGCTTCTAAGATGAACACAGACCATGTGCCCAGAGCAGCAAGCAGGGCGGCTGAGACAGCTGGGTTAGGTCATTGGCATTGCTGTGGGTCCTTTGATCTGAGGTGGGCAAGTCCAGTCACAAAGAGCTGTCACCCTCTTTCTACCTGGAGGCAGGGGATTAGGAGAGAAGGAGCAAAGGTAGGCTTATCAATGCTTCCAGGTCTCAACTGCTGCCCATCATGAACTTAGATCAAGGCTTCAAGTTGAAGACCTTCCATGGCAGCTTGATCAGTCCTGAGAGGGTCCACCAGGGTCAGTGGTCGGCAAACTCATTAGTCAGCAAAGCCAACTGTCAATAGTACAACGACTGAAATTTCTTTTGAGAGCCACATTTTTTTTTTAAACTTAAACTTCTAACACCACTTCTTCAACATAAACTCGCCCAGGCCATGGTATTTTGTGGAAGAGCCACACTCAAGGGGCCAAAGAGCCGCATGTGGCTAGTGAGCTGCAGTTTGCCGAGCACGGCACAGGGTTACTGGGCCAGCCTTCCTGTACAGATGGGAAATGAAATCTCTCAGAGCGGGAATCGGCACTAAGATCTTCTGGCTCCTGACCCCAAACTCTTTCAACTCCTTGCTGAGAGCTTGGCTTTGCTGGGCAGGGAGGGGCTGTCTGGTTAACCAACTTCTGCTTTGTGAAGAGTGGAAGGGCCTTCCTGCCACTGTATGTCTGCACTTACTGTGCTTGGCAAGATGGCCTCCAAATAGTCCCAGCTCCCGCCCCACCTGGAACTCCTCGCTGTCTGCACAGGAGTGCGGCCTCTGCTGACCCCACGGGAGATCCTCCCCCACTGAGGTGCCACCGGGACCCTGTGGTGCTCCCTGCCTCTCACTTCCAGTGCTTGGCCACAGCTGCCCACGTTGTGCATTAACTGGTCATGCAACTCTCCCTTCTGTACTGGATTGTTGTCTGGGGTAGGACAGGCTCTCTCGCACCTTCTTCCTAAGTCCCTAGCGTGGAGCTTGGGCTTACAGCGGACCATCATGTCTGAGTGACCCTTTCTCGTTTCTTCCTTGGCAGATTCAGAGCCCAGTACCTTGGACTCCCAGTCTTCGACCTTGTTCCTTTCCTCTGAGGAGCCGGGCCCCTCCGCCACCACCCTGCCTTCCCCCTCCTCCTCCTGCGAGCCCCAGGCATTTTCTCCCTCCGTGCTGCCCTCGCTGCTGCCCCCTCAACTCCCCAGAGCCCCTGTGCCCCCTGGCCCTGGTGTCCCCAGGCGCACCGGCCTTTACTCTGTCGTGGCCTCCTCTCCAGAGGCTGCCCCACGCCTCCTGGACTGGCTGCCCGGCTGCCCCTCGGCCACCCCTCCTGGTGGCCGCGGGGAGGAGCGGGAGTGGCCGGCGCCCGTCCAGGGCCCTGAGAGGGCCCGTGCCCAGCACCTGGGATCATCCGCCAGGGAAGAGGGCCCAGAGGATGCGGGGACCGCCCCGCCTCCCGCCACCCCGCCCGTCATCACCGCCACCCCTGCGAGCTTGGAAGCCAATGTTGGGGACATCCTGGTGGAGCTGCGGACCATGAACGGCCACCTGGGCATCATAGCGAAGGCCCTCACCAAACTGGCCTCGACCCTGGGGCCCCAGCCCCAGCCCCAGCCCCTACCTGGTGGGGCTGATGACAACTAATGCAGCGGGCATCTCCCGGCTGTGCATCTGAACCACGCTCAGTAACGGAACCCTGGAGGGCACCGGGCATCTGCCTGTCCATCACCCGGCATCCTGTGCATCACCCAGGAGCCCAGCAAACCCAGCAGAAGAGGGAATTACTCTGATCAACCTACTTAGGCAAATGGACCTCCACGCACGTGCTTTTCCATCTGAAATGATGTCACTCCTCTCACCTCTCCCATGCTGCCTGTCCTTCACCTCTGAACTCTCCAGGCCCCTCAAATGTCCTTCTCTTGTTCTGGAAAAGGCCTTGGACTGCTGGCAGGGAGAGCGTCCCCCGTTGGGGGTGGGAGCGTGGAAAAGGTGCTTAGAGAACCAGCCTGTCACAGTCCCCGCCTGTGACTTCTGGGAAGTATGGAGGGAGAGCAGGCGCACAGCTGGTGACAGAAGCAGCCATTCACAGCAGCCCCAGCCTTCCTCTCATGAGTTGCTGATGGTGTATCCGATCTCTGGTAATGTTTACATGTTTCTTAAAAGAAAAAAGAAAAAAGTTCGGGGAAAATTTATATTTTTTTCTCATTATAACCGCATTTCAAGATGTTTGGAAAATAGAGAAGTGAAAAAACTGATGTATCTGGAGAAGGGTGGGGTATTTAAGTCGTTCTCATGAACAAGAAGATATTTTATGTAATAAAGTTTTTTCATGTACTGCCTGGCACATTTTCTACGTACTCTCTGCCACATCTCTTCCTTCCCAGGGTCCGCTCTCCTTTCTCAGCCTCGGTTTGGCTTTTCCCATGCTTGTGAAGAAGAAGCTTTGAAAGGTTCTCATGATTGTTCTCTAAAACTCCCTATCCCTAACTGGTTTGGCTCAGTGGATAGAGCCAAACCAGTTGCAAAGCCTGCAGACTGAAGGGTCCCAGGTTCGATTCCAGTCAAGGGAATGTACCTATTCTAACCACCCACTTCTAGCTGATCAATGTTTCTCTCTCATCGATGTTTCTAACTCTCTATCTCTCTCCCTTCTTCTCTGTAAAAATCAATAAAATATATTCAAAAAATAAAAATAAAACTCCCAGATAACCCTGATTTGGTAAACCCACCCCTTTTCTCCGGATGGAAGCTGAAACTCAATCACGAGTGACTGGCATATGGAGGAAGCTGGAATCCTAGCCTTGGTTCACTAAATACCTCCCTTCCCAACAGTGACAACCAGAAAACATCTCCAGATCCTGCCACTGTCGCTGGGCTGAGACCTGGATGGGGTTTCAGAGATCTGGAAAAACCTGTAGCTTCCAGGATCTGACTTCCCACAACAAGCCAGGGTCCTCTCACCTTCCTATTTGAATTAGAATTTTAATAAAGTCTAATCATTTGCCCAAACTAGCATGCCGCTCTTTTTCCAGAAACAAATCTGGGGTCAGAACAAGGCACTGAGTACAATCCCATCCCTGAGCAGTGACAGGTTCCCAGCTGGGGTGCCGAGGCGGGCTGTTTTGTTTCTGGGCATAAGAACCGCCTGGAGAGCTTGTTGAGAAGCCGATTTTGCCTCAGTGGCTCTGCGGTGGGACCTGAGACTCAGCATTTCCACTCAGCTCCAAGGGGATGCTGATGCTATTGACTGAAGACATGCTGAGCAGCAAGCAAGTAGGGAGGGGCTGTCTGCTGTGGGATTCCTGCTGCCCCAGGAATGCCACTTGTCTCTGCACCCCATGGTGGCCCAGATGGCTCAAACCTCTCACTGAAACTTTCCCGGCAGCTCCTACTGCAGCTCCTTGGGGAAGGTGTAATTTTGTTTTTTTAAGCCAGGGTGTATTAGGTCTAGCCACCCACTTCTAACGAAGCTTCAACAAACCTTAATTGAGTGTCTACACTGCTGTGACCCTGGGGACACATGGATGAATAGAATAAGGCTACTTTCTGCCCAGCACAGAGAGGGATTATCAGGTTCCAGTGTAGCCACAATTTGAAGGGGATGGGAGAAGTAGCAGAGGGTGGCAGAAATGGCAGTTCCATCCAGGCCAGGCTTCCTGGGGCTTGGCTTTGGGAGAGCTACTTAACCCCTCTCTTTCTCTGTGCCTCAGTCTCTTCATCTGTGTCCAGTGAGCATGGCAGCCTCTGCTCTGCCAGGGTCTATCAGGACCAGACATGGAGGTGATGTCTTCCCAATGCCCTTCTATGGTTCGTGGGTATTGCTACTTCCCCTCTCCTGGTGCTGGGTCAGGAGGCCCTGGGGGAGTGAGAGTCACACACTCAAGTCTGAGCTGCCCTTCTGTCTCTGAGGGACAAAGCATTCCCCCTTCTTCTTTTCAGGAAGAGAATCCATGGCCCACAGTCATGGCCTCCATTCTGATTTTTAGCTGAAGAAACAGCTACATGGGTAACAGGGAACATCAGCACCAGGTTTCTACTCTTGGCTCATTCACACAGCTTTTTGTTCTCATTTCAATGGACTTCTTTTGTATTAGATTGGGGGGAAAATGCCAAGATTAAGTCTTTCAGGGACAAAGTGGAGCTGACATATAAATGCCACATTCAGAACCCATGTTTGAATCCTCCTATGGTCAGAATCCCACTGTGTGTATGTATATGTGAGATCTGGACTAAGAAGATCAGAGGAGGGAGCTAATATAATGCTCATTCCATCTGGGAGAGCAAAGCGAGGTCCGAGCTTCTGTCCTGGGTGAGTAGGGCATTAGGCAATGGGCCTGGGCTGGGTTTTTGGAGATGGGGCTGAAGGCCATGGTAGGAGCAGGACTGGCCTTCACCTTGCCATGGTACAGCCAGGGAAAATTTGTTAATGCCCAGGAGCTTGGAGGGAAATGGAATTGAGTTTTTAAAAAATAATAAAAATTTGAAGGGGCTTGGCAGAAAAAAAGGAACATTAGTTTTGTAGATTTTATATTGAAACTTCCCTCTGAATGATGCTAAACTGTCCTGATCTGTGTTTTTCCCAGGGTTTTAGGGAGTTCTTAGGGTTGGCACAGCATAAGACAAGCACACAATGGTCCAATGTGGCAAGCTGAACGTCGGCATAAGTCCAATGGCAGGGAATGGCACACCTAAACCAAGGGAGAATTTACCAGCAGTTACAGCAGCTCATCTTTGTGAGGTAGTGAGAATGTTTCTGAAGGCATTCAAGCAGAGACCAGACGGGGAGCTACTGATGCTGCAGCTGAAGGGATTCCACACTGGAGGGAGCAGTGATTTTAGGACCCTTTCCCTCTCACTTTGAGGAAATCCTTGGCTCTTCTCTATCTCTCATACCCACACCAATCCAACAGCAGATCGCATTGGTTCTGCCTTCTAAAGAGTTCCATTATCCAACCACTTCTCACCACATCCTTTGCTACCGTCTAGTCTACGCCAGTATCCTCTCTTTCCTGAGTTCCTGCAATAGTCTTCCAGATGGCCTCCCTGCTCCTGCCATATTCTCACAGAGCAGCCAGAGTGGTCTTTTAAAATATTAATGATTAGCTTAGTCCTCTGCATAAGACTCTCCAGTAGCTTCTATCCCATTCACCGTAAGAGCCAGCATTTTACATAATCTGGTCTCCTGTTATCTGCCTGACCTCATTTCTTAACACTTTTCTCCACTCTGGTCACACAAGCCTCCTCACTGCTTCTCTCCTGCGCTGGGTGTATTCCTACCTCAGGGCCTCTGCGCTGGCTATTTCTATAGCCTAGACTACTCTTCTCCTAGGTCCGTGGTCGGCAAACTCATTAGTCAACAGAGCCAAACATCAACAGTATAACGATTGAAAAATTTTTTGAGAGCCAAAGTTTTTAAACTTAAACTTCTTCTAATACCACTTCTTCAAAACAGACTCACCCACGCCGTGGTATTTTGTGGAAGAGCCACCCTCAAGAAGCCAAAGAGCCACATGTGGCTTGCAAGCCTCGGTTTGCTGACCACAGCACTAGGTGTACCACATGGCTTGCTCCCTTACCTCCTTCAGGCCTTCTCTCAAACATCACCATTCTCTAAACAGTTGTAACCCCTTCCCTAATCCTAACCCACTTCCCCGGGGCCTCCTGACCCAGCCCCAGTAGTGGGAAGGGATTATAACTGTTTAATTTTTTAGGTACATTTCTTACCCTCCCTTCTTACATTTTTGCCTCCCAGGAATCACCTCCAACATACTACATGTCTTTTTTTTTTTTTTTTAACTGGACTATCAGCTTCATGAGGGAAGGAATTATTTTTAATTTTTAAAAATTTCTTTATTGATTAAGGTATCACATATTTGTCCTCAACCTCCCATTCCAATCCCCCCCCCCCACATTTCCCCACCCCCCCAATTGTCCTTGACCACTGGTTTGGCTGTGTGCTCATATGTGTGCACATAAGTCCTTTGGTGACCTTGCCCTTTTATCCTCACCCTTCCTTTGAAGTCCAACAGTCTGAACCATGGCTCCTTATCTCTGGGTCTGTTCTTGTTCATCAGACTATGTTGTTCACCATTTGAGAGAAGGAATTTTTGTCTGTTTTGTTCACTGCTACTATCCCAGAACACTGCCTTTCACAATAAAATGGTATTTTGTAAAAGGGACACATCAATTGTAACAGTTAAGACAATACAGAAGAGAACAAAGAAGACTATAAAACCCACCAAAAATTCTACGCCCAAGCGATATTTGGCAATTGCTATTTGAAACATCTGTCTCTGCGCAGATGCATCCATGTGTGTGCAGTTCTGCTTAATTGTGATCATACTATGTCTGCTGTTCTATAGCCTGGTTTGCTTTTTAACTTGATAATAGATTTGCCCATGCTAGATATGAAGCGAAATTTTCTATTTATGCTTCAAATTTTTCATGATGATCAGCAGGGCTGTAATGACTATATCTGGGGCATGCCTGTTTTAAGGTAAATTCCTAGAGGTGTGATAGCTGGCTCGGAGAGCATGCTTCCTGTTTTGGGTTGCTGCTGTGGCGGCATCAGGTTCAGAAAGGGGAAGTGAGTGAACGGTAGGAGAAGCACAGGGGCCTCCGGTGGTTCCATTGAAGAACCTGGA